CGTTTGTCGCCCCACTTCTTCCAGAGGCCGCGACTGATCTTATAGGCGCCGTCGTATTGGGCCACCTCTTCGCCCATCAGAAACACACTCTCATCCCTTTCCATCTCCTCATCCATAGCGCTGTTCAACGCATCCCTGACCGTCAACTGCGGAGGAATAAGTGGTAAAATCATTAGTTTAGCCAATAATGAGGTGATCGGCCATTACCTGCACCCGAAGTGGTCCGCCGGCCGTCGATATACTTCTCTGGCATTTCTGAATGAATGCATTTCTCAACGAAAATGTGTTTAATTTGTGACAAATTATTTTGGCAGACATTTTACGAGTTAATTGTTTTAATTAAAACCGGTTTTAAATAAACAAACTGGATCAATTTACTATCAAATAGACCCTGGTCAAACAATTATAGCACAGAATACACGGGTATATTTATTATTACCCTAATTATAATTCAAACACCCTTTAGGTTCACACAAATTACAGCCCTCTCTGTGTATTCACAACCAAATTAAGGGTTAATTTTGATTAAATTTAGTTAAAAAATTAAATTACAAAAAATTATGACTTTTTTGTGTTTTTCTTATAAATTGTAATGTTTTTCAAAAATACAATTTTCAGCACAAAATTGTTTTACACATTGAAATGCATTGACTTTTGAAATGCCATTGAGTTTAATGCTACACATCGGCCGACAGGTGTCACCACTCGTACCGTTAAGTCTATTCTGGGTTTGCATTCACTATGAAATTCAATGGGAAGTACAGTATACCCAACAGTACAGTGTGTCCGGTAATCTTATTACGCAAATAACGCCAATAATCTCCAACACAAGCATGTGTTTCGCGCACACTATTCACGAATAACGTTACGATAAATACTCACATTTGTGGCCCATATTTGTAGACAATAATATAAAATCCAACCTTAATGCAATAAAAATTATCTTCATTTAACGTTAAACTAAATTCAATGAATTTCAACCAGGTTGTAATTGAAAATAATCATCTAGTTTACGTAACCATTATTCACATCACATCCTCCCACACACAAAAAATCGTAACATCATATATGAGTCATTGATTTGCACGTAATTTTTGCAACAATGATTTAAAGGGCGATTGACTCGACATCTGACGGCCAATCGATGCACTCATAGGCGTCAAACACATACCCAATGGGCAGTACCTATGGCTGGCCTATAGGGAGCGCCACTGCTATACATACCTAACGTTAAACCCAATGGTCTATTGAAATGCAGTGACATTTTGCTGACATTGAATACCCGGAGCCGACTCTCTATAGCACACAGTCTTTGCCATTGGATTAACACTACTGTTAGGCGTAAAGCGTGTTAACACAGCCGGGGGTTTGTTGTATCCGACCATCACCGGTAAGTTTTAATTTTCATTATGCTTGTTAATTATTCAAGGTGACCTACAGCATGCTCTCGGTGCATTTTATTGTACCTATACAGTATAATTAAATAATTACCATAATTACTGTCTTATGTAATACACGAGTAATACCTTTCGCTTTCCCAATGACATTGATATACAGATAACAGTCCAGTGATTATCACCACAACTCGAGAGAGTCTCGTGAGTCTTCATCTGTCGATCACGTGAAGAGCACATCGTCTAAAGACATATATATAAATCAAGACATACCGGAAGAATAACACCACAAGACATAATGGGTGGCGGAAATCTGGTGATACTGCCGGGAGACTCGTGCGCGTACGGGTCGCCCAAGTTCTTCGCGCTGTGCGGTTTGGGTGGTGTCCTGTCGTGCGGTGTCACACACACGGCGCTGACGCCACTGGATCTGGTGAAGTGTCGCATTCAAGTGAATCCCACCAAATACAAGGGCATTGGGTCGGGCTTTAAGGTGACCGTCGCGGAGGAGGGTATGCGAGGGCTGGGCCGCGGGTGGGCGCCCACGGCGTTCGGCTACTCTCTGCAAGGGTTGGGCAAGTTTGGTCTCTACGAGGTGTTCAAGAAGGTGTACGCCGACGCCATCGGCGAAGAGGCGGCCTTCCAGTGGCGGACATCACTCTATTTGGCCGCCTCGGCGTCGGCCGAGTTCTTCGCCGACATCGCGTTGTGTCCGTTCGAGGCGTGTAAAGTGCGGTCGCAGACACAGCCCGGAGCGTCGCCGCTGTTGCGCGTGATTATGCCCGGCATCTGGAAGAGCG